TAATACATAGCGCTATGGAGAAATCGCAAGGGGATTTCTGCCTGGACGCCGCCAGGTGGACTCTTATATACAGTGCAGTAAACAACTCCGATTTGTCCTGCTCGAACTTGTTGCTGGGCAAGATACAGCAGTCACCCTGCTTGGCTGAAAGCCAAGCACATCCATATATGGCGATAAGACAGTTGCGGACAGTTTTCCCGCTCAATTTTGCTTGGTACAGCACCCAGTTTTCCCTTATGACCTGCTGCTACTTATGTCAAGGGCCTGCTTCCACATGACCGTGCAGTGATGTAAAAACCTCAGTCCCTGGCCATGTGCTCTCTTCTGTACCACATACTCTTCCCTTCCTCGTCATTGGTCTCTCTCTTCAGCGTATTTAACTAAAGCAGTATAATAAACTGTACAGCATCTACAAACACTTTCATTCCCAGCAGTGTTACTTCTCTGCATGAAGGGGAGGGGCTGCACTGCCTGTCCAGGAATATTTAAAATTAATCTTCTTCCTCTATAAGACCCACCCCACCGCCTCCACCCACAGCTCCAACCCCCTCTGACAAGGACAGAGTCTTTACAAGGAAGTTTAAAGTGCATTCAGATGATCATGTCTGCTGGACTTAATTTCTGTCTTCCCTGACCTGCTACCCCTGGAGACAGCTGAGAGAGAACAGAAAACTTGGGAACTTTTGTGGTGTCGTCTTGTTGGATCTGTTTCTTTTTGCGGCAAGCAAACTTCTTTCTTTGGCTTTCTGCCTACATGTACAATTGTTCTGTAAAAGATGGGGGTGGGAATTTGTGTGGTTTCAGTTTCTAAAAAGCCTGAACAACCTAGCCACGGCTTGTACGTGAAGACAGGAAAAGCTGCAGCAGGCCCTGGGCACAGGACCAAGGGTCCTGCTGACAGCTGGCAGCAGGTTGGGAGCTGGAGAGACAGGTCATCCTCAAAACTGAGAATAAAGCTCAGGGGAAGAGTGTCGGATGGAGAAGGGGGAGGTAGAGCTGCCCAATGCCATTTGTAATCCCTAATTTTCTTCACTGTTCTGGAAGTGTGTATATTGTAGTGTATGCCAATTATTACAGAACCAGTTTTGACCCCCTTGACTCCTCAGTGTCTTTGCCAAACCAGAACCAGAAGCCCTGACATACTGCAGGCCTGGTCTCTGCCAAGGTTAGAATTTTTTAGGCAGGTCTGAGGAAGATGAGACACGACACCTGACTGTACCACGGACACATGGGTGTGTGGTGAAGACAAGGTGGAGCTGCAGGGCTTTAGGGGGAATTGCAGCTGAGATCACGCCCCTTCCCCAACTCCTTAGTGCCCATGCCAATGTGCATCTTGCACTGCCCTACAGAAAGAATTACATGGTTTTCTCCCATTGCAATCAGGCTGCTCTGCTGAGCCAGGGCAAGGGCAGCCAGAAAGGGGCTGGGTGTGTGGTCCTGACACACCTTTGTCCAAGGCCTTGTCACCACTGTAGGGCCATGGCTGGCGTGGTGGAGCGGGAAGGCATGCCTGCACCTTCTGCTCTGCCTAGGTAAGATCTAGCCTCCTGCTTCTGCTGATGTGCAGCAAGTCTGAAGACATGCTTTCTTGGGCTGTCCATTTAGAGCTGCTTTGGAGGCTAAAGCCCCACAAAAACAACCTGAGTACACATGTAGGCTTGTAAACACTCATACCAAGAGCCAGACACATGACTGTGGCAAGTATAGAGACAGTGAAAGCGAGAGAAACTGCGAGCGAGCAAGCAGCCAGTGGAGATTGAGACTGGAAATGAGACTGCACCCAAGATCTCTCTACAAATTGGAAGCATTGGTACTTTAAAAAAAGTTGGTATCTTTGATATTAGTATACTGCAATACAAGTTTCATAGTTTCACAGTTGGTAGGGTCGGAAGGGACCTGAGCAGATCATCAAGTCCAACCCCCTGCCATGGCAGGAAAGAGTACTGGGGTCAAATGACCCCGGCAAGGTGTTCATCCAGCCTCCTTTTAAAGACCCCCAGGGTAGGAGCCAGCACCACTTCTCTTGGAAGTTGGTTCCAGATCCTAGCCGCCCTGACTGTGAAGTAGCGCTTCCTGATATCTAGCCTAAATCTACCCTCTGCCAGCTTGTGACCATTATTTCTAGTCACTCCTGGTAGTGCTCGACTTATGTCAAGGGCCTGCTTCCACAGTCCCCGCTTTGATGGCAACCCAACCAGGGTTTGACATCACACTTCCATAGACATAAGTTGCGCAATCTCCTTCTTCTCCCATTCTCCTCATTCCAGTTCCTTCACTACCATCATTCTCATTTCACCCTTGGTTATTACCTGCGCAGATTTCTTACAGAACAAAGACATGCAGTTCATTACACAACAAAAGCATAAGCCTATAACCAAAAGAATTATGGTAAAATAAATGAGACCCTTTATCAATTCCCTTGCCCAGCCTGACCAGTTTGGTAGCCAGGACCAGAAAGAGTCCCACCACCCTGTTGCCGACTTACGTTTTTCTTCCTCAAACTCATCAAGGGCCTGCTGCATGGAGTCTATGTGTTCCCCTATTTCCTGGTGATTCTCAGGAATATAGACACAGCATTCCTTCCCAACCAAGGCACAAACTCTCCCCTTTGAGGCCCGCATAAAATCTAAAGCCATACGGTTTTGTAGAGTGAATCAGCGGACTGCCCGTAGCTCCTGATTAATTCCCCTCAGGGCACCTATGGTTTCATTAGCAAACCTCTCAAAGGCTGTAGAAAGTGCGTTCACCCCACACATGGCCTTTGCTGCTCCATACCAGGGGAAGCTTGATCCGAATATGCCCTGAGTGTCAGTTATGAAAGGGAGGTTTGCAGGTCTTGAGACCACACCCCGTCTGTTCCTGACCCGATTACCAAGTCGGGGCCGTATTTGAATTCCTGGCATAACTATTCCAACATAACAAGTGCCTTTCCAGTTAACGGGGAGCCATTTATAGGTTCTTTTCCCACAGATATAGTAAGGGGCGGGGGGCTATCTGGGTATCCTGCTTGTATATACATTCTGCCATTCATGCTGCAATTGTATGAAAAGCGGAAATTTAGGTCATCTTGCGAACCATTGTTATAACACGATAATGAGAATGGGGTGAGAGACAGTGTCGAAGGCCTTCCTGAAGTCCAGAAAGACTATGTCCACTGCAACACCTGCGTCCAAGGATTTTGTGACCTGGTCGTAGAAGGCCACCAGGTTGGTCTGACAGGACCTGCCTCGAAGGAAGCCATGTCGGTTGCCCCTAAGCATAGTCTCCCCTGCTGGCCTCTCACGGACATGCGCCAGGATACTTCTCTCAAAAAGCTTACCCAGGACCGAGGTAAGACTAACGGGCCTATAGTTTCCTGGGTCCTCCCCACACAAAGAGGTTTGAGCCACTTCCATGAACAGTGCCTCTTCTGCAGTGAAGGAAATTCTTGCCATGGCAAAGTCAATAAAGAGCCAGGGCATAGCATAGTCCCTGTTGTGTTACTGAGTAACAGAGGCCAGAGAGGGATGTGGCTCCTCTGAGAGGATCCTGGGACGCACATGAATATGGGCTCTGGGGCTGTGGAGCCACCTGGTTTGAAAGGGCTGCTCCTGGGTTTCTGGCCACTACAGAAGTGCTGGAGCCCAGAGGCTCTGAAGGCAGCTGCTGCCCAGAAGACAAGAAGCTGCAGCACTCCAGGCTCTAACCATTAGGTCCTAATGGGCCCAGCTGACCTAAGCCTCTGCTAATGACAACCATGGTAGCCTATTGGGAGCCAGGCAGGTCAAGGTGTCTGGAAAAAGAGTGGCCAGGGTCTTATAAGCCTAGACCTGTGCTGCCTGAGACTGGTTCTTGCCAGGCCCGGAGGGAGCTCTGCAGGGAGTTTGAGTCTGAAGAGAAGAGCTTTATGTTGCATGATTAATGTTGTTCTTTAAAAGCCATGAGGCATGGGGGCGGGGGCTGAAAGGACAGAAAGAGGACACAGAGAGCACCTAGGGAAGGGGCTGAAGCTTTGCTGATTTGGCTTCTGAGGATTACAGACTGCGAGGCAGAGCAGCCTGGACTGTGCGGGGGCCATAGCCAGGAGGGCTGCGTGAAATGGCACCGTTCCGCTTCGCCTTGAATTTCGACGATTCAACACAACAATGTTTCGTCTCGAATTTAATTTTGAGTTGAAACAGCCGTTCCGTTCCACTGCATTGAAAGAGAAAGGCTGTTTCGAGGCTGTTTCGAGTTTCTCCGGGGATGGGGAGTCAGACCAGCTGGGCTGACTTCCCTTCCCCAGCGCTAGATTGGGCCAGGGGCCCGGCGTGATCTAGCAAACAAATCTCGTTTTGTTTCAAGGCTATTTTGAGGGCTTTTGTTTTGTTTTGATTTTGCTGTTTGTACCTCGACATTGGTTGAAACAGCGTCGAAACGTAACAGCCATAAAAATTTCACACAGCCCTAACAGCCAAGCTCTGCTAAGGGGCCAAGAAACCCAGCAGAGGGTGGGGAAGGGCCCACAGCCTGTTTAGGGGAAATGGCCAAGGAAGACTGAGGGAGAGAAAGTGGTACAAAAATCTCCTCAGAAGAGGAGGGGTTCCAAGCTAGCAACCTACTTAAGCAAGAACAGCCACCTGCATTTATAACTTATAACATCAGGCATGGCAGGAAAGCTGGGACACTGCACCAGGGGCCCAGAAAGGTAAGCAGGCCAGAGAAGCATGCCAGAGTGCATCAGACCACCTGAAGCACCCTAGGATTGCTATACATGGACTAGATTTTGCCCTCAAAGTGGTGCTGGTAAGCACTCAGTGCCATGAGCTAACCTGTCAGAGTCAAGAGTAATACTTGCATGAGTGCTGTGCATGCTTCCTGGGGTGAACAATAATTGAGCATTGTAGCCCAAAGAGTTTGGACACACTGGGAGTGAGCGATACCATCCTTAGGAGGACAGGATGATTTGAAAGAGGAAGCTTGATATTACATACTAATTTTCCTAGTATTTCCTCCTTCAGCTTTCTGTTTTGGATTTGCAGAGAACTCCCCAGGATCTGTGATGGATCTGGATGCAGAGACTGAACCCCTACTAGACAGAGGTGCAGGGGAGGCCAGCTCTTCCCAGTCCACCACTGCAGGAATCACTGTGTATCAAGAAATACAGACACCCCTTGAGGTGCCAGCCCTGACAGCCCACGAGACTCACCACATCTTCATCAGTTACAGCAGCACAGACTCGGCCTGGGCCCGGGGACTGATTCAGAAACTGGAGGCCACCCTTCCTGAGCTGAATGTGTGTTTCCATGAGCGGGATTTCATGCCAGGCAAAACCATAATTGAGAACATGGTTGAGTCCATCCAGGGAAGCCAGAAGATCCTCTTAGTCCTTAGCCCAGACTTTGTCCAGAGCAGGTGGTGCTTGCTGGAGGCCAACCTGTCCGTCTTCCGAGACTGCATTGAAAGGAAGCCTGTGATCCCTGTCATGCTGCAGACCTGCTCTGTCCCACTGCACCTCACCCACCTGACCTACCTCGATGCCAGTGATGTGCACTTCTTTGACAAAGTCAGCAAGGTGATCTGCACTCCCAATCACCAGATGCAGAATGCCACCATGGTGCCTTACAACCCCCCATCCCTCTACAACGGGAAAACCCTGTTGACCTTACGTGCTGTGAATGAGTGCTTTCTATTGAAATGGTCAGGGGGTATATTCAGTGATGTAGTCCCTGACCAGCTGAGCATGGTGAGTGATGATCCTGAGCCGTACAGGACAGCCATCCAGATGATTAATGAGGTTTCCTCTAGGACAGTCCCTTGTTCTCCTGCCATCTGTTTTTTTGTGATATGGACTTGTCTGTTTGTGACCTTAATATCTAACTTTTTCATGCTCTTGGATGCTGTAAAAGAGAAAGGATTTTCCTGGTTCTTTGTGTGTTTCGCGTCTATGTTGCGCACCCTGCTCCTAGTCACAATTGTTGCACTTGTCAGCTGCATTTACCACTACAACGTTAAATTACCTAATATGAAACTCCTGGAGATGTCCCAAGCTGCCGGCTTGGCCAACTGCCTGCTGCAGAAGAGCTCCCTGCTGATGGGGTGTGCGTCCCACGCGGAACTCCACTTTGTCTACATGTCCCTTGAGTGGTGCAGGAAAGAGTTCGCTGAGACCTTCGGGGAGAGCAGCCCCTCTGCTGAAGAGATGTTCCAAAGACCCCCGCATTATTTCTCCTCTGATTATGCCTGCTGTGTAACCAAGAAGTATTTCCACTTCTCCTGGGCAGGGGGCATGCCAGGGCACTGGGATAAAGGGCCTTGTTTTGCCAGTTTGTTTCTCAGCGTGTGAGGAAAGGCTCCTGGTGCTGGAATGCTTCTGACCACTCAGGAAAGAGAGAGAGAGCTAGGATTTGATTCAATATGGGGATCTAGACACTGGATGGAATATTTGTTCTGGAGCTGATTATTCCAACTACCTACCCCTTGTTTGTTAAGGCTGAAATGCTGTGCGTGTGGGAGAGGAAGGAGTTCTCCTCTAGTTCCATTTTCCCACCAAAAGAACAATATGCCTGGGGCCAAGCCAGGGAACCCCAAACAACCTTCCCGCTATACATTCAGGTGTCAGAGTGTGGGCTGTTGTGTCTAACTGAAACACCACTATGGCAAGTGCAGATTCTGGATGTAGATTAAGTGTAAGTTATTGATATGTTCCTATGGTTGTATGGGCTGACTGCTAAAATATAATCCATATATGGTAACCTGGGAAAGTAGAGGAAAACCTGCAAGTCAAGGCCACCAATATTGGGCTGGAGCTTAGACCATATACAGGTAATTTTTGAAAAATGCTAATCAATTGCTGTAACGTGAAGTTTAACCTTTTACTAAGAATGTTATATAACCAGCTAGAATTCTGTTAAGGTGCTAGTGTGTTCTTGTCAACTGGATATGCTAAAAAGGACATGTGCAAGCCCCTATTGCTGGCCTTGACCATTTTGAAGGGGCCTCAGTTATACTACGGAGATGTGACTGAAGTGGACAACCTCAGGTGTTTTTTTTCTGAATGACTGCAGCGTGTTTTTTTTTTCTTCTGAATGACAGCTAGTCTGGTCTGCAAAGGTCAACTTAAACAGAGCAAAAGTCCTGAAGGGAAACATTATGTAAATGCCTTTATAATAATCCAAATATAGTTTATCATAGCTTTAGCTTGAAATTATTGACAGTAATAACTGAAGTAATCAATTATACAAGATGTAGTTTTAGAAACATTATGTAAATGCCTTTATAATAATCCAAATATAGTTTATCATAGCTTTAGCTTGAAATTATTGACAGTAATAACTGAAGTAATCAACTATACAAGATGTAGTTTTACTATAATGAATATATTTGTTTTAGGTTTCTGGAAAGAGGTGCAAATTAAAGTAGCCGTATTGGTGAAAATCACGAACCAAAGTGAAGTCAAACCAAAACAGAGACAAGCAGCATTCCAGGATGGGGAAGGACAGCAGGCAGAAATTGTGCAAGCCCCTATTGCTGGCCTTGACCATTTTCAAGGCCTCAGTTACACTATGGAGATGTGACTGAAGTGGACAACCTCAGGTGTTTTTTTTCTGAATGACTGCAGAGTGTTTTTTTCTGAATGACAGCTAGTCTGGTCCACAAAGGTCAACTTAAACAGAGCAAAAGTGCTGAAGGGAAACATTATGTAAATGCCTTTATAATAATCCAAATATAGTTTATCATAGCTTTAGCTTGAAATTATTGACAGTAATAACTGAAGTAATCAACTATACAAGATGTAGTTTTGCTATAATGAATATATTTGTTTTAGGTTTCTGGAAAGAGGTGCAAATTAAAGTAGCCGTATTGGTGAAAATCACGAACCAAGGTGAAATCAAACCAAGACAGAGACAAGCAGCATTCCAGGATGGTGAAGGACAGCAGGCAGAAATTGTTCCTTCCAGAAGTGTAATTTTCACAAGGACATAAATATCAGCTCCCTGACAACTACTAGTCTATATTTCAAACAAAACAAAACAAACAAACAAACAAACAAAAAAAACCCCCTTTGATTCTGTCCAGTTCTCAAAGTTGCAACTACTAGTCTATATTTCAAACAAAACAAACAAAAAACCCCTTTGATTCTGTCCAGTTTCCAAAGTTTCAGTTAAACCAAGGCATTGGAATAAGCCATTTAGTATTCAACTGGAATAAGCCATGCATAAATATATGGTATAGAGTCAAGGGAAATAGAAGAATTCCAAAAATGCAAGATGATCTGCCAGTCTGGGTCCTGTCCTGAATCCCGGTTTGAGTCTCCCCACATGGTATAGGTGAGAGTCTGTATTCTGCTGTTGTGGGTAGCTCGATAGAACTGGGATACCTATTTATTTCTGTGCTTTGGGGCGCAAACAATAAAAAGGTCAGACTCTAAATCTGTCTCTTGCATCTTTTTTATAACCTGCATGGTAGTAACACCCTATCTGCAAAAAGGGGATGGGGAACCATCAGGCACGATAATAATTAACAGAAATTAAATGATCTGATTCTTGTATTTAAGAAAGATAATCATTAAGGGAATTGTACATGATCCTATATTTTGTGCCTAAGTTTGCAAAGGGGTCCTGACCATAAATGGGCTCTAGTCCTGTTTTTCTAAAGGTGAGATAGTCAGACTATGCTAATATATGGTGAGGTGTGGCTGTCTTTCTCCAGAGCCCCTCAGTGCAAGGATTAGTCCCTATGTGGGTGGGTATTCCAGGCACAGGTGACGGTTTGAGACCATGACCCCAGCCTCATAGCATCAGCCACTGGAGCCAGGCGGGTGGGGCACAACCCACACTACAGCCACACACGTCTATGGGACCAGCCAGCCCCAGGCCTCCCTCAGAGATGTGAATGAAAAGAGATGCTTGAAAGTGAAACCTTTCCCACTGCCTACCCCCCACCCCCAAAGTCACTCCTAAAAACACTCTGTGGATTTTGAGGGGCACAGAAAGGATGTTACATTTTCTTTTTCCTGGTGGGCGATGTGGGATCAAACACTCTCAGCCTGAAATAGGGCGAGGTTTGGGGGTCACCCAAAGTCAGAGGAAGCAACTAAGATCCAAAGTACCCTTCCCCAAGCCTACCCTCCGTAGTTCACCAAGTGTGGTGAACTTGTGGGGAGGGGGATTGGGCCTGCCTGGATGCTCCCTTTGCTTGGCTGACTAAAGGAGACTATTTTTTGTGCTTCAGGCTAAAGGACACTCCCCAAGTGCTCACAGTGGCTCAAGCACCCTCAAGGACTACAAGGCCTGTGTACCCCAGGGGAAACAAGGCCTGGAAACAGTCCAGACCCCTGGGTGGTGGCAGCGGTTACCCCAGGCTTGTGGGTGTGCTCCAGAAAGGGGGTTGGCGGGATGTGAGGCGCCCCAAGGGAGGTGCTCGGGGCTTGGTAGGTAGTCAGGCAGGTGAGGTGGGTGGCTCAGTACAGGAGTGCCCCCTACTGGCCCGCCACAGGCCACATTGTGCAGGTGAGAGCATTTGTATGTCTTCCATGCAGGGATTCTTAGTTTGCAAAAGAACTCACGGAGCCCGTCTTCAATGGGGCACTTCTGTCTTTGGTTAGAAAAATATCTTTAAGCAAGGAGGGAGCAGAGCATGAGGTGCTTGTAATACAGCACATCCATCTTCTGAAGGCTTTGTGCAAGTTTCCTTGAGGACAAGGGTTACAATGGGGCCAGAGATTGAATAGTTCTTAGATGAAAAGTGTCTCCCTCTGCTGACGGTGAGTTTGCCCTTTACTGTTTTTGTCTGTGAGTTAATTCTGGTGCTGTGGTTTCTCAGTTTCACACATGCGGTTTCTATGAGTGCATCTGGTGCACTGAATGAGGAATCACACATTTTGTGATAAGCACGTGTAGGAGGCATGGATTCTGATTAGGACTCTCAGCCTGTAGTCTAAGAGAGAGAGAGATTTAGTCTGAGATCTGTTCTTACCTGGCATGTCAGTCTAACACTACCTTCCTCTTGCAGTCACTTATGCCGCATCTATTACATCCATCAAGAGATGCACCAGCTTTCCAGTTTGGTGCTTTGTGTTCTAGGTTGACAGTGGCAGCCAAGACCTCAATTTCAAGTGTAGGATACAAGAAAATGCACGTAGGTGGTCCAACTGTTCCTCCCAATTTAAATGGAAATGTCATTGACTCTAGTAAGGAGCAATGTTCAGAATGTTTGAAATAACCTACCATAAAAGAGGGGTGGGGTTTATGGGACCGGTGTCTGGTTTTTTTCCAGAACAGATCTGCAAAATCACTTTCTCAGAGGTCCTAAAGGAGAGGGGCAGGGGAAAGTATTTAGAAAGCAAGAAAGGCTTCCATTAATGCATGAATCAAGCTAAAAAATATAAATGTGATTCAAGCCTTGGAGGGTCCCAGACAAATCTAAGAAATTGTTTTCCTTTGAATAAAACATTAAGGGAGAAACCTAGGGCAATGTTTGTTGAGTTTAACTACATGAGAATGAAGTTGCAAACTATCACAGAATACAATTATCTGCCTCCACCAGACCACATTTTTTCATAACTTTATTTATATTTTTTCCTGTTTTTTCCAAAACAATGTTAAGGTGTAGGTGTAATTTCTGGTGAGACTTTCCGAAGGTTCTTGCGGTGTGGTAGGCAACTTGAAAGAAAAGAGCATACTCTGGATAGAGCATTTGGTATCCTCATAAAAAATGATCCTTTTTTTGGAGCAGCTGCTGCGGAGAAGAGAGCAGTCACTTAATATAGAAAAATAAAGCAAGGGTGT